CTGGGGCTGCTTATATAATATTAAAAAAAAGTAGGACAGCTTAAGAATAATAAGTAGACAAATGAATCGCAGGACTTGAGTATTTTTAAATACAGAGTATAAAAGCAGGTGCTCTCGTAATTTCAAGAAAACTTAGATATTTAGTTTAAAAGTGAGATATGTTAGAGAATAGTTGTGCCATAATAGTCTCATAAATGTCACACACGGTCTAGGTATATTCTCATCGCAGTTGGTATACGCCCCCTTACTTCATTGTTCATCGCCAATGCCACAAAACAAATCGTTGTACGAAATCTTAATTATCATTGCGAAAAGCAAATGCGTCCAAGCTGTGTAATAAACGACAAATAACAATGCCCGATGGTTTCTGACTGAGAGCGTGGAAAGTTGATTCATTAGCAGGGGATTCTGTTCAAACACCAGCTCTCGCTTTTCTTGTTCAGTAAATATTGACCTGACGAAAGGAAAAAAAAAAAAAACTTTAAAATGCTGACAGCCGTTTAACATAGTCGAGTCTCACAAATTAAGAACAAATAGAATTAGAGGTTTGACCTTTAAAACTGAATTCGTTTGGTTAAAAGAAAATCATTTGTTCCCTGGACTCGGCAAGATATTATTCAGCACCAGCCGCTGGCAGAGAATTTTTAATGCTCCCTTGTTGATATACCACTCTTGTTTGTTTCGTCTTTTAAACGATAATTAATATAATGACGATTGTTCTATCGGTATTGAAGGTTTGTTTGCGTAGCAGCCATACTGTTCGTTCTCATCGGAGTTCTTGTTAGAGTTATACGCGTATACTATCAAAATGAGGTACGTAAGCAAACTTTTAAACTTTGTTAACCTCTGCGTTAACTTTTATTTTCATTTTAGAAAGGGGGGGGCTTTCAATAGAACTTTGGAAGTCACTGACTGAAGTAACGATTAAAAATTTAATTTTTAACTTATCGACTGAGTCATATAATTTCTAAATTATGTTTATGTCGGTGAAAAGATTTTACGTAGTATTTTATTTTTAATGCATTTAAAATTGATATACAGACTTAGTGTTGTGTCAGGTTAACCTTTTAAACAAATGTAAACTCATTTATCGGCGTATAAAACGCACATTTTTCCTTTGAAAATAGATCTGAAAACCGGGGTGGGTCTTATACGCCGATACTACGTCTTATACGTCGATACGTCGTTTGTGAATGGGTCAAAGTTCATGGGATGCTGTGAGAATAGAGACGATATTTAAATCATTTAAAATGTGTGTCATTAGTAATGTGCTGGGTGGTACAGAGCATAATTTGTTGAATGAGGATTCAGATGCTGATTTAGAAGAGATTTCAAGTGACTCTTTATTTAGCTCTGGAGATGAGTGTCTGCTTTGACGAATGAGATTAAAAGGTGTTCTTTCCCAGATAGACTGGGTATTTTCAGAAAGTATTACTTTGTATTGGTATTATTTTATATTTAAAATATTGTTAATTCATTATAATGATCATTAATAAGGTTTTATCCTTCAAAAATGTGTACAAAAAAGTGGGTGCCTCTTATACGCCGGCAAATACAGTATTTAATGCAAAATAATACTAACCGTACATATTTCAGATGACTGTAATTTTTTAAGTTTGCGAACAAGAACTTATCACCAGACAAAATAGAAGCAAATTTTGCCTTCGAATTTGTAAATATTTAGACTGCGCATAGGGTAATCAAAAGGTTTCTCTCTGATTCTAAAAATTTCGTACAAATTAACCGGAAAAATAGAAATGGGAGTTTTTATAGTTATGTCATCCTACTGTAGTTTCACTGTCACTACTGTAGTCTACCGTAGTCATTCTAATGTAATACATAGTTTATTTTACCGTGAAATTCATGCGCCTTGATGAAAGAAAAAAAACTACATGTATTTTTTAAATTGCTATAACAAAATGACTGGAGCTTTTGAAGTTCGTATACGGAGGCAGTTCTCCAAAAGCATCAGAAATTGGTATGAGATGTTTAAAAAAAGAACTGATAGCATTGGTGACCTTCCAAAAGTAGCAGGCATACTGTGAGTAATGAGATTGTTGACTCTGTAGTAAATCGGACACAGGACGTATTAAGGAGCAGGTCTTTACCCCGCTAATTCTTGATATTGATACATTGAAGGCCAGAATAACGTATGTTGTCAAGTTCTGTAGAGCAAAAGTGGAAAAGTTGGAATAAGAGTTAACATTCTTCAAATTACAAAGAGGACACACATGAAGATTTACTAATCCTTCTATGCGGTCCATAAACCTTGGAGAATCATAAAGATATTTTCTGTAAAAATGTCAACTCTTTCTGGTAAGTCGTTTTTAGACATTGAAACTTGTAAACAATAAACAATATTATAATTAAGACACAATAACACGCCGAACAAATACTAATTCAGAAGTCAAACAACAAAAATCAGCGTTAATTTACAAAATTTTCACAGGACTAGTTTCGATGGTTTTACCGAACCATCAAAACTAGTCCTGTGAAAATTTTGTAAATTAACGCTGATTTTTGTTGTTTGACTTCTGAATTAAACAATATTATATTAAGAAATGCACGAACTTTAATTTCCTTCAGTAAAATTCTAATTCAATTCTTAGCGCGGTTCTCGTTCTTTATTCTAGTAATTTCCGAACAGTAGCATAGATAGAGAGGGGCAAAAGGGGACATCCTTCCTCGGGTGCAGCATTCAGAAGTGATGTTACGAATTTTTAGAATGAAATATTTTCCATTCTTGGTGAAAAAGAGGGGTATGAACACTTCATTTGTCTTCGGAACTATAAATCCTAGATATAGGTCTATTCCCAAAGAATCACAAGGCATCAATGGACCGGAAAACAATTCTTGAGCAAAAGTTTTCAAGTTCCGTTTTCCTTATTACATAAACAAATTAGATGGAATGAATCTACATTTTAACAGTATACTTGTAGAATCATTAGGTTATTTTGAAGCAGGAGACAGGAGAAACATGCAATTCCCTTTCCGGGACTCGAACCTGGACTTCTCGAATACGCCCTGAGTATGCTATCGTTACACCATGAAGGCATGCTAGAAGAAGGGAGAAAATACCTTATATCCTTATAAAGTACTTTTTGGGGAAAAGTTGTGGATAATTTATGATAAGTTAGCTATCAAAAACTGAGTTAATTCATATGCTTAATGTTTTAATATTAAAGGGATTTGTACAGAGATACGCTAAGGTAAAGATAAAAATTACCAATCAATAAAATCTGCAGCATTTTTAAAGAATAAATTTTAAAATTATGTATTACTCCATATACTGAAGTTTTAACTAACTAACTTAATAAATTTATTTGTTCTATATTAAATATATACAGAGAAAGGAAGAGCTCTTGAGCGGTATGGTTTATGGCAAAGGACCTGAGGGCTATCTGCCTACGGAGAGAGATGCCTTCATGAAGGAAAGCTTCGAAGACCAACTATGCAGTTAATTCTTTCGCCTGGTAGTGAAACCAGGTCGAACCTTCTATGATTCAGCTGTCTTAAAATTCGATCACTGATGGGGTAGAATTTTTAACGGAGACTGACTTGTTTTTGGTTCCGCTGATAGCAATAAAAAAGGGAGGTGCATAACTAGATGTTATAGTAGCCCCATATACAAAATTTCAAAATTTTATGGCTAACTGTTCTTGAGATATGCAAGACAGATGCATATAAACAGACGTATGTACGTGTGTGCAGACGTCACAAAAAAAAAAAAAAAAAAAAAAAAAAAACTCTTCTGAATCCATTTTAAATCATTTTTTTAACTTTTTCCGTTTTGGTAGAAAGATTTCTTTACTTTTTCGGAAAAAAAATCTTCCGAATGGATTAGGGAACGGTTTAAACAGATATTTCGTTTTGAAATATGATGTCGGAAATTTTTCGCTATTACAATATCTCCTTTACTTCGTACAAAGAAGTAAAAATGGACAGATAAATAACAGCTTCACAAGATATACATTACTATAATATTGGTGTGAATTTAGAAACGTTCAATGAACCTAAATATAAAATTTAATTAAGACGATTTTTAAAGTTAAATTAGAACTATTTATCGAAAATGGTAAATTTGAAATAAATTAAAAGCATTCTATTACGTAAGAAGATTTGTTAGTATTTAATCTATAAAAAAATTAATAAGAAATGCGCTACAAATTAATATTACTAAAATTAGTACCTTCTTTCAAATCCAATATTAAGTTCATTTAAATTATTATTAACTTACTTTGCAGCAATTGCGCCAGTAGTAGAATAACTCGATTTCGCACTAAGTGAAATTTAGATCTACAATATATATATATATATATATAATATATATATATATATGTATATATATATATATATATATCATATATATATATTATATATATATATATATATATATGATAAAGCCTGTTAATGCTCTCCTGAAATTTAAAATCTTCCTACAAAAGCTTCCAGTTCGTAGTTTTAGCTGGTGATATGGAAAAGCAGCTAAAAACTATATAAGTAAAAAAACTATAAAGCTAAAAACCATAAATTACTGCTGATATGATCAGCAGCTAAAACTACGACCTGGAAGTTTTTGAAGGAAAATTTTAAATTTCAGGAGAGCACTATCAGGCTTTATTTTATTAAGCATTATAAAAGTCTAATATGTGTTTAATTGAATCCATTATTACTTTAGCGCATTCCAGGTTTTCATTCAATATTTGTTTTCTACGCACAATATTCACAATATCCAAACGACGAAAATAGAGATTTGTAGTCTCATTGAAATAACGTAAGGATAAATGACTTGTAGCAATCATGTTCTTGGAAATTCGAGATCCTAGAAAAGAGAAGGAGGTATAAATAAAGTTGCGCAGTTCGCAGTTTTTCCAGCATTTCCGCTTTATTGGTCACTAGTCTCGCGCAGTTGGCCCATTGATAAGACCCCTCTTAATTAACTTTCACGCAGCTAGTACGCTGCTAAAGAAAGATATATACGAATGTTTTGGTTTGCTTACCTTCTGAGATGAGTCTTTCCCTGATTTCCCAAGCGAAGATGGTGGGATTTTCCCTCTTGTATTGCTCGATTTTTGCCACCACCACAGGGGTAGCCACTTTCGGCTTGCTACCCCCAATGATGCCTGGTCGAAGAGAACCCGTCTCATAGTAGCGACCTACAAAAGAGAAGAAAATTTTAATTATTTCAGTTTAACAACGAAATCTTTAAAGGAAGAAATAGTTTTGTTTGAGTTATTTATTTTACTGTTGCGTGCGTACGGGTTTGTAACGGATTGAGTGCGCACAGAACCGACTGTAGCTTAATAAAATTTCTTTAACAAAAAGGGACAATTTACAGTTCTAGAACTTTCTACAATTGCATAATAATTTGCTTATTTTCATTCGATTTATCTGTTTAGTTAATTTATTAAGTTTTATTGGTAGCTGAGATTTTTTCCTCCTTGATAACGTATCCGAAAACAAAATCATCTAATGTTTTAAGAAAAGCTGCTGTCCGAAACGTAACACGATGTTGCTGTGACAATAACGTTGAATTTTCATAACAGTTAAGCTTAATTTAAACATTGTTCTCCTATCCTTTAAATTACATCAAACATATTCGCAAAGACTAGAAGGCACGCGCAAAAGAGTCTAAAAGCTAGAGAAGGTTAACTGTAATCCATGCTCCGAGGAGTAAGAATCCAGCCATACCTTTCCATTCGCCGATTTATTTGGAAACAGGTAGTATTTCTCGAAGGCCGCATTGATTCCCTTTGACGCTAAGGGTTAATAAATACCTTCTTTATCTTGATTAACTGATAACTAAAACAGGAGTCTTGATTAAGAGGGTTTAGCTTCAGTAAGTGTAAATTTCAAGGCAAGTCTTTAAGAGTTATGGACGTAAAATTCCGTACGAAGCATGGCTTTCCTATTCAGTGTGCATGAAAATTTATGTCAGATCTTGATCAATCCATTTTCGGGCTGGATGTAAATTGGGTGAAAAAGAGCTAAGGTACAAAGTGAGAGGATCTTTTTGGGATCATGATCAAGAAAATGCTGCTTATTCTTGACATTTTGAGGAACTTTGAAATTTCAGGACCAAATTCGTAACGCTCGAAGGGTTAAAGTTAGTGCCGATAAGAAATGGATAATTAAGTTTATCGGGTCTCTTAAACTTAAGTAGCTTAAACTAACAAAACCTAGAAGAGTGCGCGACGAATTATCTCCTCAAGTAGGATAAAATTTCGAGAAGTATCTAAAGAACTGTTTGTTAACTCAATATAATCACAGACGACACCGACCCGTGTTTGCAAAAGCCAACACTTTTGGCTTAACTCAAAAAGATAACGACGAACTTGAAATTAAATGTAGTAAGTTTAGCCTAACGGCTCGCAGGATACTTTAACGCGCAGGATGGCTCTGACTCATAAGAGTCAGCGTAAACCAGCTTAGTATCTAGAATCGCTCGACGTCACAGAAATCTAAACGCTAGTAAATCAAAATGGCAACATGGCTTCAAGCAAGCATAGCACGTTCTAATATCACTTTCCGAAAAAAACCTTTCCTTAAATACTACTTCTTTCTACTTTGCTTTTGAATACACGCGTGGTAGCTTAATAATATTCTGGCAAGAAAGTGTGAGTTGAAAACGAGAATCAAAGAAAGTTGATATGAAATGAAAATTGACCGTTAAGTAAATTAAAGGAATCCAAACAAGTTTGAAAATTATTGCTTTAATTATAGCCCACGAGGAAGGACAGAGCAGGAGTTTTAATTATGTGATTCTGTAAGTTGATTGTAGTTAAGACAAGAACTCACCGACATTTTACGGAAATACTCTCGGTTAAGAACTGTTGGGTGAACGCACTTTTAGAAAAGTTTTAATAGTAGAAATGCATTGCAAAAGCCTGAAGCTAGATAAAGATAAAAACCCATAGTCTCCTCTTTATAAGCTGGAACTGTACCTGCTGACCCTATCGGATAATTTCTAACTAACTAGGCCATTAGTATTATTAGGCAGTGGAAGCACATATGTGTAAAAAAAAAAAAAAAAAAACAGAAAAGATAGTTCTGTCATCATTCACGTAAAATCGCTTTTATGGAACAAAAAATGAAGGGAAAATACCTGTCATTGTGTTCCTAAGTCGTCCCTATCGTAGAATGCCATCAGCAGTACTTAAAACGCCCTCCCTCCGCCTTTTGCGTACGTTTACAGGTTAAAAACACGCGTTCTATACGTATATATATATATCTCGTGATTATAGAGGAATTATCGTGGAACGTAGGTCATTTCTAGTCGCTGAAAGGTCACGTAGTCAAGCTCGTTAGCGTTTTCTGTCTAAAGAAGTATGCACTTCGTCCCATGTGTATATTTCTTCATTGCAGAACTCTTGGAAACGTAGGGAGATGTAGCTAATAATTACAACTCTCTTCATTTCGATTCCTTTTTAGTATGTTTTGAGTCAACAGCAAAAAATTTAAAGTCTCGTGGTTAGCACGCAAATGTCTCGTAAGCATTGCTTCTTAATTTGATTACAACTTATGTTTCATTTTGTTTATAAGTAAAAAAAAGATGAAAATTAATAATTGAAGTTTTACATATCCTAAGGAATACATTGTAGACAGTAACATGCCCTTCTGCACCACGGTTTTCCTTTAAACATAATGATGTTTAGGCTAGGTTGAGCGATTAAAATTTTAGCTTTAAGAAAACTATGTAAAAAAAACGGAAGAGTATTTAAGTAATCTACAAAAGATTAACTATAATAAACTTAGTAAACCTGAAATTCAAAATCTTACCCTAAAAACACATAGGGAATGCTATTACGTCTAAAACAATCTCTGTAATGTGCGAACAACCACTGTACCGATGCATACCGCTCGAAATTTAGAAGTGAAATGACAATTTATTCCAACATAATGCTTTTATCTACCACTAAGTAGAGCTCTCAACCAACCACCTTAACGCTCCATTTCGACACACATGTTGCAATACAGAATCTATTAAATCTCGATCCTCTCTACCTGCTGTGCACTTTTGCTAAAGATTTTTGAATCACTCGGTGGAAAAACGCAAGCAAGCAAACATAAGTGATTTTGAAGAAAAACAGAGAGTATGTATAGTTAAGATGCGGCAAAAGAAAGCTTAGAAGATGAGAAGATGATTTTTCTGAGGACAGGTGGAATTATAATATTCTCATTTAATAGTGATTAGCAATGATGATGAAGAAGAAAAACTAACGACCACTTTTTGTCCTTACTGTATAATATAACAAATACTTTCGATTCACTGTTGATATTTCTACTAAGTACATTTTTGACCGTTATAAAAAATATATAGTTTTAATCATTTTTAAATCTTAATTTTGCTTTTTGCATTTTTTCTCTTCATCCAGCGTTACAAATTTACTTAACATTTTAGGTAATTACAAGCGAAATTATATGGAGTTTCCTTGCATTAACACTTTACGTAATTTTGAGGTAAATATATCACTTTTTTAATGCTTTTCCAAAACAAAAAATTAAAAGATTAATTTTTTTTTCAATGTCTGTGCAGTTATTAAAACGATGTTTCATGCCTGTTATTAAAATACAGTTATTAAAATAAGCAGCTTACAGAGCTGCTGTCAATATAAGATTTCTTTTTATATAATTCTGCACCTCAAGTGAACAACCAAATTAGCTATGAAAGCTTTCGGAGTTGAAGAGGGGCCGCATAAGGGGGGATTGCCACCAAAAACTGCTACCTAAAATTAACGGACGACTAATGATTTCCAGAAGAGGCATTTTGGCTGATGTCCCCGAGGTAGACATGTCTCCAATGTCATACCATCATGAGATCTCAGTTAATTAGCTAAGACCGCATATTTCTAAAAAAATGCTTGTAGGCCCTCGGAAAGGGAGACCTAGATGCGACGTTGCGCAGGGGGGAGGTGTAGAGGGTAGTTCGTAATGACACACTCTGTTCTGTCTGTTCGTGCCTTAGGCTAACAAATGGACAGCTAGTAGTAGAACTATGACGAATGTCTGGGGATAATTTTCTCTGTGAGCGCAGAAACTCGCCTCGAATTTTTTCTTCCTCTCTCGGAAATTCTACGCTTCGATACCAGAGCCAGGGGGTCAGAAACAGGGGCTGGTAGACTAGCAACAGCTATGCTGCTTACTGGGGTTTGACGGCATCGGTGTTCATCTCCCCCCTCTTATCTATACATGCTCAAATTAATTTTCACGTGGGTTGATTTTCCATTTCTTTTATGTTCCCTCTTTTTCTGTCTGTTCTACCACTATTAATGCCATCATCAACAACAACAAGAGACCTTCATTTCTTTTCCCTGGAGTTTACTGTCTTCATGCTTGGTCGATGTTATGAAGTGATCCAATATACGCGCTCGGAGTTGCTTTCGGGAATTGACTGTCGATGTATATTACAAGAATAGCAATAATAATGACTGTAGATCATAATAATAGCGGACTTCGTCGATGCGATTAGAGGAGCAGATGCTACTACGTATAGCAGAAATAGCGTTTATTATTACTATTATTATTGTTATTATAATATTTATTTGCCTCTTTCCTTGGCTCTGTTTTCTAATGCGGCGGCAGTACTGGGACATTTAAATTCGTATTTTTACCTTCGAACAACCTGATTGCGATAAAATATGTGTTTAAAATCTAAATTTGTTTACGTTTTCGTGAGATTTTAAGATGTATATTTTTGTTTTCCTGGGTTATAGTTTCTTCAAATGGTTTTATATTTTAAAAATTTCTTTTTAATAATGTCTTTCGTGAAAATCGTACTTAAATGAAACTTTTGTTTTCTTATTTTCTGTTAACTTGATGTAAACATCTACGTATAAAATTATTCACAAGAAAAACAATTCCACTTATTTGCATATATGTTTATACTCGTTAAGACCGCAATAGTCTACTAATTATTAAAATTTTAATGGTCCGAAAATGCGTTGAACATATTTCATATCCATTATAATTACCTTGGAAACTACATTAAAATATTTTGATAACTAATAGACTTAATCTCTGTACCACCATTAAATTCAGAATTAAAAATTAAGATTAGTTTGACAATGTAAATCTTTGCTCATCGAAAGAAATTTTTTGCAATCTTCAGAATCTTAAGGAAATTGATTTTATAGCCTTCTTCTTTATGTTTGCAGTT